TCTCTACGTTCATACTAACTGTAACAGCACTTTTCAATGCTCACTTTTCAATTCATATGGAAAGTATCTTTCTATATTCGTAATAAAGCAAATGGCACTTTTTAGTGCCATTTTTTTTCAAAAGATTAACGAAAAATATTCATTCTTTATTTTGAATATTTAATCCCATGTTTTTCTGTTCACAGCCTTCAAATCAGCCAGTAATCATTACTACAATTTCATATATGCATATATTCAAATATATGTGGGAACGGATGAAAATGAAGAAACAGCAGGTGACTGGGATGATGTCTCAAGAATGTCAGATGACAACATTTGGAAAGTCGTCGTATAAATAAAATATATAGCCTACGTTCTACAGCAGAATTACTGTGTTTATGCTGTGAATCTGCTGTTACGTTCTACAGCAGAATTACTATCCTTATGCTGTGAATCTGACGTTACGTTCTACAGCAGAGTACTCTGTTTCTGCTGCGAATCTCACGTTACGTTCTACAGCAGAGTTACTTTTCTCATGCCGTTAAATATGACGGTATATACATACAGAATGCAGCGACAGATGCATACGCTTCTGAGGTCATGCCTGACCGACTATGACATGAGATGCCGTGCATCTGACGTTAGTTTGCTTATAGGGTAGTTGAAAGGAAAATACCAAACAGCGGTGATTTTAGGATACAACTATAGATAAAACCTTTTTACTAAACAAGTAACAAAACCATTCTTATTTATTTAACTTTAAATATAATTACTATTCTATACTCTACATATATTATATTACATTGTACACAATACTATTATAGTGTCATACATTCGACCGTGACTCAGGTTAAGAGGCCAACCTCGGAAAAAGGTCTTGTAGGGTATCGAAAAGGTATATGTATATGCGCATGTGTGTGTATGTGTGTGTGTGCATGTCCCGTGTCGCTCGCCCAATGACGGAAATTTTCCAGACGCGTGCGGGGCAGCCGTCATCGGAAAGTGACAATTTAGGTTTGGAAAAATTAGTTTTTAGAGACAGTTGAGCTTGAGAGCGAAGAACAGAACTACTATTTTGTAGCAATTTTTCTTACTTTTAGTTCGTCGTTTTATTTACATATAGTTTATACATACTGTTTTTCTAAAATCACCGCTGTTTGGTATTTTCCCTTCAACTATATCCCACACTATATTAAGTTTAAATATGATTTTGTTATTCAATAAATAATATGTATAAGCAATTAACTCATTTTTTTACAAATTGTGTCTCAATCAATGAGAAACGTTTTCAATTTTTTCTTTACATTTTCATTCTCACAATCCTCCCTTGCCCTCAAATAAATAAATACAATAAATTTATTTATGATAACTTGACATTTTCGGACGTTCTTGATTAGTATTTTATGTCAATGATACTGCTTGAACAAAAATAATCAAAAAGCCAGCAGGATATTGAATATTGATCAAGCTTTCAAAACCATGGGCGTAGCCACGTTATCAGTCGGGGGGAAGGGGAGTAAAAATATTAACACATCGACTGCCACAGTGAGAAAGGCTGTACGTAACCAGACACGCTTTATTTTGTTTTTAAAGTTATAAATCATTACAAATGTATACGTTTTGTTAATAGTGGTTGTTGGTCGTGTTTCAAATTATACTGCAATGTTAAATATTACGCAAAAATTTTATAACTCTGGGAACGGAGGGGACGGGGGCAAAATCCAATGCTTTTCTTGTAGGGTGGGGCAAAAGCCATTTTTTCCGTCCAGAGAAAAGGCTTCTTGGCTACGCCCATGTTCAAAACCTATTGAAATTGTTAGCACATATAAGACCGCTCAAGTTTCCAGGACCGTTCATGACTTCGAATCCGTTCAAGACTTCGAACCCGTTCAAGACCTCCAAGATGCTCAAGAATTCTAAAGCTTATCAAGACTTTTAAGACTTTTAAGCTTCGAATCAGATTCGACACGATTCGAAGTTTTCGTCCTTGTACAGATTCGAAGCGTTCCAAATCCCATCACTACCCAACATTGGTCCCGCCTAATCCGGGACGTCTGGTCACCTTACACCTTACACTCGAGTGATGTCTGTTGTTAGACAAGGTTCAAACCGTATGCGGCATCGTAATTTAAAGACATTGATTTTTTCAGTACACTTACTGGAAATTCAATTATGTGCAGATGAAACTTTTCCTACAATCCAGGCCGAGTGAGACTTACAGTGGGTCACAAAATTATTCGCTCACTCGCTAATGTGGCAAAGATGAACGAAATAATCAGGCAACACAGGGTACTTTTCAATTTTTTATTTGGATATACATAGCTTAAAGTTTAATTTAATAGAATCGTAAAAAAAATTGCGAAATTTACATTTATAATTACAGAAAAATGAGTTTTAAGAAATCTTTACGTTTTTTCACGTCACAAAATTATTCGCTCATTTTGTTTTAATTACTATTATGACAATATTAATATTTAGTGGGATATCCTTTTTGTCTTATTACTTCTGCAAGTCTTTTTGGCATTGATGCTACTAATGTTTCCAAATAATTATTGTCCATTTTTAGCCATTCCTCCTGTAATCTGTTTTGTAAGTCTTTCTTGTTGGTAATTGAATGTCTACTACGTATTTTAGTATCCAGCATGTTCCATACCATCTCGATGGGATTTAAGTCGGGAGATTGAGGCGGAGTTTGCATTATTTTTGGACAATTATATAATAACCATTCTTGTACCAATCTCGATTTATGTTTAGGGTCGTTATCTTGATAGAAGTGAAACACTTCTGAAATCCCCATTACTTCCGCACTCTGCTTCAAATTTTTTTTTAGAATATCCATGTACATTACTTTATCCATGGTAGCCTCAATCATTTGCAATTTTCCAACACCGTGATAGCTAATGCAACCCCAAACCATCACATGACCACCTCCGTGCTTGACTGTGCTACACAGGTTCTTGGGATCCATCTCCGCGTTTGATCTTCGCCAAACTTTTTGATGACCGTCAGAGCCCCAAATATTAAATTTACTTTCATCACAAAATATTACATTGTGCCAAAATTCAGGGGGCTTTGAGATGTATTTTTTGGCGAATTCTGTTCTTTTCTTCCTATTAATTTCGCTTACGTAAGGCTTTCTTCTTGCTACGCGGCTGTTGTACCCGTTCTTTCGCAACACTCTTCGTACCGTTTCATCAGAAACTTCTTTTTCACTAAAATTTTTCAAACTTGTATTGATTCTGGGAGCACTTATTTTCGGATTTTCTTGAACTTTTCTCACAACAAAACGCTCTTCTGAGGAATTCAATATCTTTTTCCTACCACGGCCAGCTTTGTTTATTATTCGTCCTTCTTCTTCATACCGTTTTATAATATAACGTACTGTTGAATAACTTTTACAAACGATATTTCCAATTTGTCTGATGGATTTTCCACTTTTCCAATGGAAAATTATAATTTCCCTAATATCTAGACTAGTTTCTTTACTTTTTCTACCCATTGTAATGAATTCTTGAAAATCAAAGAAATAACTGACAATAAATCCTTACTGAGCGTTTGTTTACGTTATACTGACTTTTTCCAGCAACAATCAGAAACAAATGCCCCTCTGAGTTTGTAGATTGCATTTGTTTCAGTGGATTTCGTGGCCTGAGCGAATAATTTTGTGGCGTGAAAAAACGTAAAGATTTCTTAAAACTCATTTTTCTGTAATTATAAATGAAAATTTCGCAATTTTTTTTTACGATTCTATTAAATTAAACTTTAATTTAAATTATTTCGTTCATCTTTGCCACATTAGCGAGTGAGCGAATAATTTTGTGACCCACTGTAAGTCCTTTTCTCCCTACGAATTTTCCCACTCACATTTGCTTCATTTCATAAACACATGTTTCATATTTTTCGTGAGAACTATGAAGTTTTTGTTATAATAAAATTTATGATCATTTGTTAAAAATTACTAAAGTGAAATGCGAAATAAAAAGAAGTAAATATTTCTTGAATAAGGAGTAAAATACTTTGATCACCTCTAGAAATAGACTTAAAGTTCATAATGTTGCCTTTAACCCCTTAACCTACAACTACGGGCATAGCCCGTAGTAGATGATCGGACCAAACGTAAATATTACGGGCATAGCCCGTAGTAGATGATCGGGCCAAAAGTGAATATTATGGGCATAGCACGAGCGATGCCCATAATATTTACGATTGGCCCGATCATCGTACTAAACAAGTCGTGCGAATGGCTCGAAGGCTGCGCGAGCTTGTTTACGTTTTTGGCCCAAAATTCTCGAACGTAAATCGTAGGTTAAGGGGTTAAGTTTGCAATATACTTTCTGCCAAGAGGTTATCCCGAAACGTGAAACACGTGAGCGCGCCATACAAATTTTCTAACTTTGCAATATTCTCCTACAAAAAGTAAGTCTGTTGTGGCAAGTAGATAATGCAAACTCCAAACATCAAAAGCTTGTAAATTAACAGCTATTCTAGTAAACTATTAGTTTATCTTCAATGTGGATTCATGAAAAGTGAGATGAACGGAACTCCATCAAAACTGGTGAGTTTTTCTTAATAGCAAATTAAAAGTAAGCAGATTTCATCACGTTACACTATTGTGTATCATTGTTCATAACATTACATAGATTATATACCCGTAAATAACATGTATAAAATTTATTTCTATTTTTCGTAAATTATTTGGAACAATTATATTACAAACATAAAGTTAATTATTTAATTCTTTAAATATATGTACTTAAAACATCAAGAAGAAACGTAGATTAATTAGAAAGTTTTGTTATAAAATCAGGATTACCTAAGTGTGGGCTATTTCTAATTTTCACTTTAATTTTCTGAAGAATTTGAATGTTTAATATATTTTTGTTTTATTATTAAATAAGTATATTTGCACTAAACATATATAAAATAGTTGATCAATTTTATAATCTCATTATTGTACTTCATCAATCATATCGTGAATATAATTCAGTATAGAATGTAAGTACATATTATCACATGCTTACCAGAATTATCATGAGTAACTTGACCAATACTGCTTTGGGGACCATGGTTCTGTTGATTGTCACCAAGAATGATATTTGAAGTATGAGTTTGTTGAGGATGAAATATAGTTGGAATGTCCCCGACTCCTCTGCTACCCATTCTTAAGTTTGTTCTTTAAAAGATGTTGTAATATTTGTTTTCATTATACTCAAAAAGAATTTACAACTTATCTCTATTTTAAAACGTGAAAGAAGTTTTATAATTTGTAAGAAACATGTATCGATGTGAAAAATTAATAGTGTTCAAATACTACAATAGAGACATTTTTTCATTACAATGACATTAAAACAAAAATAGAGACCCAAATATCAGAGTATTTAATTTAGCATAGGTACTGGATTCCATTACTTGCACATTAAGGCCATTTTGCAGCTTTTTACTTCATTTCTTACAATCTAATATACAAATTAATGTTATACAGATGTACACTAACAACGTTTAAGTACTTAAGGATTTAAATTGTCTATATTTTCATGTTTCAAAAATGTAATACATTCAAATTATACAGTTCTCAGTGTTGAGGTTTTTGGATATAAGCTGTGTCCTTGTAGAATTATTTTCCCAACTCTTTGCAAGTACTGCAGCTAGCTTCATTGGGGCATTGAAACACCCATACTGTGTAAGCAACTAGAGGTCAGTTAACTGTTGTTATTTTAATAATATTAACATTAAAGTATATTCAATTTGAAATGATTCTAATTGTTACACACAAGATAACCTTAATTAGACGAGTCCCTTAAAGGAAGTTATTAATGATACTAAAATAATCTTAAACGAGTCCTACATGCAACATCTAGAAAACATATACTAAATGAGATGAATGCTATCAACGAAGTAATAATATGATAAATATTTATATAGTTATTATCCACAGTCAATATACTACTCAAATTCTAAAATAATGCTCTAATAAAATGATCTTCACATTCACCATACTCTTCACCTCTAATCTTTTACTTTTAAGAAATAATGTAGTATATAAACTACTCTATCGCTGTAAGGAAAAAAAATATATGCAATTCTATACTATTACTATATTCTGGATTAGTCAGTTCAGTAGCAAATTGACCTTTACATAAAACATTTGGCATTCATCTCACTAACATCAGGCTGCTCTGAGAACAGAACTTGATTTTCTCTTTTCATTATTCCTATGTGTTCTCTAACATCCATTATTCGTTCCTCTAAAATCAAATCTCAACATACAAAGCACATAAAAGAATATCGACACACGATAAACTGATATGATTACATATACACACTCGCATGTTAGTGGACAATAAGCATTAGGGAAGAAATGTCCATGAACTTTGAAAAGGAATAGGTGCACATCTCTCATATCCTACCACTCAATCCCATTCTTAGAAAGGCCCAATTATAAATGTATCTTTTCTAACAAATGTTTCTTTCAGATTTTTTTACTTAGCCATAGTTTTATTATGATAATAAGAATTACAAATATACCTAAACTGCTGGCAAGTTTTAATGTTACAACTGCTACTTCTTAACAAAATATTTATTTATACTTACAACAGACGATGGGTTCAAAAATATTATCTATACTATCACACATGTGCAAGTGTTACACATAGATAACTATATTTTAGCTAAAGAATATACAGAAACTTTTTGGATTTGTTACTGCATTCAAAAACAGTTTTTAATAAATTAAAATCTGCATATGAAAATACTAAAATGCATTATAAACAAATACACGAATTTTAATGAATAAATTAAATTATACTTACAAGTTATTCAAATTTCAATACTTAAGAAATGAAACAGTTATAGGAAGTTAACTTCACATGTTTTGTATTAAATGAATAATACAATAAAACATGTAGTATTTTCAAATGTTTTTAATTGTTTGTCAAGTATGTGATTAAGGCAAGTTATTATGACAATTTTTCTCACAATTAACGTAACAATGATAATTATGTATCATAATAATAACGTAAATCGTATTTTACGAAATAAACAAAGTGAAAAATTATTTAAATAAGAACATATATTTTCTAAATTATGTACCTTGACTTACCTTCCTTACATTTTTCGTCGAAGGTTACGACATGCTTCATACTTGATGTATTCATCGTTAACTATTTACTAAATTTTGTATCACATGCACTCTCATAGCGATTTTATTGCAGTTCTGTTTGTAAATTTATCGTTTCTCACTCCATTAGTTCTGTAGGTTAAAATGTTTTAATTAACGAAATCTAATAAAGCAATTGCCAGCATATTATTTGTACTCCACTGTTAACATAATTTGCCACTTTTTAAAATAAACACAGTATGTCTTTGTTTGCCAACAATTTTGGTTGATTGTTTAATTATGTGGTTGAGTTAATCTTTTACATCGTGTTACGAATTTCATATTGTACAAACTTATCACGAATACATTCCAATCTCTAACTAATTTTTCGTGATTTTACGTATACTATGTTACGCCATTGATTACCAGTAAACTTCATACTACAACCTTTCAGAACGCCCTAGTTGCGTCTGCGCCCTATACGGTTTCTACTTGCTTCATTATATTCCAAAAGAGCGTTCGATATGTAAATTATATTTACCGTAAGTACTTAAGTAAGATTACTAAAAATGAACGGATAACATGTAAAAAAAAGTGTTTTCTTTAAATTATTATATTGTACTGTCATTTACCGTGAAACTTAGAAAAATATTTGAAAATTACATAAATACATTTTTCCAGAATTGAAATTTTGAAGATTCAAAGGACTACATGAAAAGTAACATATCTATAATGTTCGTAGGATTGTATCGTAATGTATTATATGTAATGCTGTATAGTCGTATCATTTATTTTTATTTGAAGTAATCAATGATACTTGTTATTATTGGAAATTAGAATATATGTTATGAGACGTATCTTGTAACATATATTATAGAAAGCGGGGTGTGATAATAAAGTTTCGAGAACAAATGATTACACTTCCTCCTGCATGGACTCTTGTCATTTTTATTTCTTTCTGGTCACGCAGATCGTGCCAATACTATTGAAACTCGTCAGGGCTATCTAAATTAAATTTTTTCTCGTCTGAGACTATCACCGTTTTCCATTTTTCGGTCCACGACATGTGATTTTCCGCAAATTTTAAACGTTCTTGTTTGTGGAATTTGGTTAATGGTGGATGTTTCGCTCTTTTAGTGTATTTAAGTGTTCTACACGATCGTAAAACTTGCTGTACACATTGAACACCAACTGGCAGGTCTAATTTCACTTTTATTTTAGATTCATTAAGTTTATTTTGTCGTGCTTCTTGAAGAATCTTCCCTTTCTTTCTTTGACTTCATTTTTTCGGACGGTTCGTAGATTTTTTAGTGCCGTATTATTTTTTTAATTGTAACAAATGGTTTACTACGTTTAATGATCTTTCAATCCACCTTGAAATTTCTCTGTTTAAGAGACCCATATTGGTGAAAGCAATAATTTGACCCTTCACTACCATTTAACGGTTTTCTATGACCCATTATGATTTAAAAGTATTAAACGAACATAAACTATTTTTCAAAATGTTTGAAGAATATAAATCATTGTACTTACCATACAAAAATGTTTAAAAAATTGCACTGACAAAAGTATTTTTTAAATATTTCACCGTGAACCTAAGATTATTTCGTATCCTTTACACGATACTTTTGAATATGTTTCCTAAAGAAGTACGTCTTTACATTAACGCTTTTGATATTCGAGTGACTGCTTACACAGTGGGTAGGGCACATTCTTGTGCAACAATAACAAACGGCACAATACGTTTCCGAAAACGTAAACAGAAATAAACACAGTAAACCAGCCAACGCGGATAGTAAACCTATCATTATTTCGGTCACTGTAAGTAATCATATGGGGTCCGGAAACGGATTAATTCATTTTATATTAATTTTTATGCGGAAAATAGTTTCAGTTTACGAACATTTCGGTTTATGAACGACCTTTGATCGAGGTTTGACCGAGGTTTGACTGTACATTAGGGTGGCTCTTACTTTCGACTTATTTTTCGCTGCACCCCACAGAATAGTTCCAATTAATAAAAACATAATCTGTGCAAAATCAGTGAAAACGTGACCTAGGCTCTTAAACATTAAAATAATTCATTAAATACTCATAAAATCGGTTTCTTTCGATTATCTTCTAAACTATTGATTATATCAGAAAACCCACTAGACAAAACTTGTAGATCTAGACAGGACGCATTTTTTATGTTATATTACTTTTTTCTTACGACGAACGGTTTTCGAAAAAAAAAAAAGAAATACACTGAAATTTTGTTTCTCAATTTTGGAAGTTGTAGTGTGTTTTGATTATTCTTTATCAATGAAGACTAAACAAATGTATATTATTTATTTTCGACCCTAAAGGACTATTCTTAGGGGATTAATACACTTTTTTAAAAATTTCTCTAGCAAGAGATGTTCAGCGAGCAAAGTATACCACATAAAGTGTATAATATAATACATAAAAAGATGTACTACAAACGTGTTATAAAAAGATATATTATTTCATTAAGAAAAAACAGTTACCTTTGAATCTCGAAAGGACTTCCACTCAGAAAGATTTCGTTTTATCTATCGTATACTCCTCTTAATCCCTTCCATACACTGTTAATAGTAATTCTGCGATACAGAAATTATGATCTTGAGATTTACGGTCACATATGGAATAAAAGAATACTTACGGCAAAAATTTTTCTTGTCAATACCATAGCTGCTAAACTGGAGACGATCGTTCAGATGATAAAATAAAGTCGAATTAACATTCGATTTTTATATACAACTACTATTGTAATTGTATATAAACATTTTACTTATTTAAAAAAAATAGATGCATAACACATGAGAAATTATCAAATGAAAAATATCGAAGTTTTATTTAGAATATGTAAGTATATGTATGTATAATATATGTAGATTGATGTGTACATATCAATCTATATTATACATATATTTCGAATAAAGTTTATAATCAAAAATATACGTATATTAATACTAGAACTACTAAAGCTGTCAAAATGACGGATTACAGATTTACTATTTTACTATTACTGAAGTTATAATGGTGCATGCTTCTCACGGAATTTATGTGGGCTTTTAATTTAATACCGATTTTATTTTATGAAATATTATACTAGGTTGTTTTATATATTTTGTATGTTATGTATTATACAATTTAATTTAGTATACATTCAATGCTGGTAGTTCTAGTATTAAAGCTATGATTGAATCCATATTGTATAATAATGGCGATTTCCATGTCGGATATACAAATTAGAAGTTTAATACTAATTTAATACAAATTAGAAATATATTGAGAGCGAATATAATGCTTACGATATTAGGCACTAATGTTTAACTATTTCTATAAGATTTTATAAGTGATCGAGTTGATTTCGTTCAGTGTTTCTTTTTAAACGAAGATCAACGGAAATCAAAAGTGTCATGCGTTTTTTCTATAAATGGATAATTGAATTAGAAAAAACTAAGTTTGGTTCGGTTATTTTGAAAACGTATAGGGTATAAGGTGGTACAAAATAAGACTACACATTTACGATAAAAATATTTTATTCTTTATTTTTCTGAAATAAGAGACTCGATTCATTTGAAATATTACGTGAATTAAATATCATTGAAGTTTCGTATTAATATTTGAGGTTCTTGTTCCGTTATGTCCATACCATATATGCCTATTTGTGTCATACAAATGGTACAGTCGTACAGAATAGTAATTTACGCAGTAACTTACAGATGGTTCAATGTGATGGTATTGTACAAATAGTATATACAATAACGTCAAACCTAACTAAAACGAATGATGCACATGACAGTAAAAATACAGCAAACGTTCTTATATTTCTCTGCAGTATTCTGTATTTTATTGAGAAAAGTAGTGTTTTCTGTTCTGGAGTTCCATCTGCATTTACTACATTCATACAAAATTAATTTAAATAAATCAAACATTATAACACTAACATTTACAGATTATCCAGTTTCTTTATAGAATAACACTAGTAAACATTTACGAAATAATGGGAAGATTTAAAACAAATAATATCGTGCCTAATACCACACTTTTTACCTGTTCTGTTTTTAAAAGATGATTGCATGTATGTACATTAAATTAAGAATATATGATATTATCTAAATTTTTAATACTATTTCAATACATGTATAAGATGTAGGGCATTTCACTGGATTAGTTTTCAAAAATTCGTGTTATTCTACAATGAGTGGCTCACTTAATCTTAATAAGGCAGTAAAAGTCTTTCTGGATATCACATTTTTAATGACAGATAAAGTTTAAGTTTAACAGTTTTAAGACTTCAATTATCAATAACAATGGTGTGTATTCAACTCTTGGAGTTGATATTTGTAATGTATGCGTGAAGGCATATAAAAGAAAAAATACAGCGATTTTAATCTCCCTAACACGAAGCATTTTCTTGCTGTCATAATAAACGCTAACAGATAATCTCTATGGCATGAGAACCAAACATAAATCATAGCACGCATGTAATAATTTGAAAGGTAGCTCTTTACATTAATCAGTATTGTATGTTTTAAATTCTCGGAAATATTTCGTAGTATGTTCGATATCAAAATTTCTACCAAAGGAAGCTGATATAAATATATGCGTGTATGTTTTTTTTATTGAATTAAAAAAAACACTTACACTCTCTTAATACTATACACCATACCACTTTATGTATCAAACATATTATCGGAAGCAATCTAAGTTTATATTTGTTAATGCATCAATATGTGGATCAACATATTGATAATATAAATTTATGATGTACTAATATATGGATTTTACATGCCATTTATTATAAGGTAAAGTATATGTTGGTGTAATCATAGTCAACTGTTATTTAATGAAACCTTAAATAAGAAGAAGAATACGGATTAAAATGCAAGAAACTTCTAGAAATATTTTTTACTCACATAATAAGGTTTCTAATGAAAAAAATAAATTAAAAAGTTATCACAATGTTCTGAAGTGAATATTTTAAATGATCGTAATTAGCGAACGTTTAAAAACACTAATACTATAACTGCACATATAGTACCTAATTATTTGCATTAATACACTTGTTAGGAATAATAAAATGTCATTTACATTATGCGAGTTTG